TCAATATATTGCTACTGGGGGTGTTCTTACAGGTCAGGAAGGGAGGGAACTTATTCAAAATAGTGATAATATGGTTTTGGATGAAGCTGTGGCCTCGCTAATTGAACCACGAATTCGTGCACCACGATCCTGTATTATATGTAGATCACTAGCGCGTACTGCTCCTAGGTGCCCAGATCGAGAATAAGAAAGATAGTATAGTTTATATAAATAAATATTAAGTGGTTAAAGTTCTATGGTTTTTAAAAGTTGGATGGTGGGGTAAAAAATCCGGACTGCTTATAAATCCGGACTCCTTATGAAGTACGTTAACGATAATTTCCTTACATAAGAATACGAAGTGACATAACAAAAAATGTTCCAACCTCTTCAAACTGTTAACAAATAACATAGATATCACGTAAACTCCTTTCTTCAAACTTGTCTCCAAGTATTCTGATAAACAGTGAATTGCAAAATAAGCCCAGCAACCACACAAACCACCCTCACCTCCAAGCAAGTCCAAGTAAGTCCCAGCTTCACAAAAGTCCCATACACTATACACACGAATAAACAATATCTACAAATACCGGTATTTTATTCTACCACAACAAACCACACTCTCTCCCTCCCCGTTTCTCTTCCACCCCAAGTCAGCCAAACCCCGCTATCGCAAGAGTGTAACACCAACCAGGAAAACAATCTACAATAAATCCACGCATCCATCCATCTGAACTTTATCTATCCCATTTTAATAGTATACCAACAAATACCAAAATAGACCAAGAAAAAGGCCAGGAAAACAGAAGAAAACCACGCCTACCACCACAAGAACAAGGGATGGGAGAAATATGTATCCTTCTTGTTATTGTTACTTGTTGCTCTCGTGGCTCTTGTGTGGTGATGTGGTGTTGTGTTGTAGTGTTGTAGTGCGAGTCTTGCTGATATATAGTGCCATTTTCTACGGGCTTGGAGTATTGTTTGGGTAAGGGCTACTTTCTTGCTTTCTTCTGGGAAACTTTTGAGTTTGGTTTCTAGTTGTGGTTTGTTTTCCGTCAGCGTTATAAAGCTGTAGAGTAGACTCAGTAGAGTAGAGTAAGAGTATATAAGCTACTCGAGGCCTTTTAACCTTACTCTAATTGCCAATTATTACTTAAGTAGTGCGGAGCAAGTCGGTCCAAGTCCCCGGGGATTATTCATGCTAATCTGATCGCTTGGATCCAGCTACTTAATCCTCTTTATGGTATAAGTAATCTTACTCATACCTCTACCCAACTGAACCAAAATATCTGCTCAACCCAAATCAACTCTACTCTACTCTGAATAACTTAAGCACTACTTGTTGTTCAGGGCAGAAGAGTTGTATTTGAAGCTAGGAGCGAGCTAGCTCAAAGGAGGGGGAACGGGCTAGCAATTACAGTATGGCAGGCATCCAGGGAATCCGAGTGACCAATTCCTGACAACATTACCTAAGTAGTTGAATATTCCGTCCTCACGCAGTTTTCTGTTGGCTTTCGGGGGATGTTAGATCACATCTTTTCGAGACTTTAGAAAATCGGGAGAAACCAGAAAAGCCGAAATTCATTTGACGTTTTTAATACAACAGGGAGGATTGGCTTTGGTTCTACTTATTTCAATGTGAGACTCCTCATGGAACATCTGGCTCTTACTCTGTCTCCTCCATCTCCTCCGTCTCCTCTTCTGGAGACCAGTCATCACCATTCAACAAATAAAATGCCGAGGAAGGATAAGAAAGCCAGGAATCTTCGTCTGCCTCGGCAGACCCTCCGATGAATAATTTTTCTTTGCCTTTGACAAGCCCATCTGTGACAAGCACCTGACCCTTGAAGGCGGCACCAAAAGGCCTTCCTTGTGGGCCAAACGTAGTACCATACAAAGTCCTTCCGACACATTCTTGAACTGTGATGTCCCGATGGCATACGGCGAGACAATACAAGATTGTATAAGGGACCAGCTGTTTGAGTGGGTCAAACTTGTTCATCAATCTCAAAAGTCCTCGAAGAAGGATATTGTCATCACTTCTCTCAAGATCCCGAAAGAACTCACAATGAGCGAGGCAGGGGCGGAAAAGACGCAGTTTCCTCTCCAAGAGCTCATACACCGTCCTGTTGGTCTCCGGAATGCTTTTCAAGACGTGTTTGATGAGACACGAAAACTCCTTCGGCCCCATTGGTAGTAACAACATCTTTCCCAAAGCTATTAGACCCAAGGTCTCAAAACAGCAGTAACGCTCTGCCAGACAGATTACGAGAACCAAATGTTCAAATATAGGGTATGAGGCTTCGCTGGCGGCGAAGGTACCGCAGACCAATCCGGATATGTGGTGTTTTTCGCAGTATAGTTCTGGTTCACGCCATGGCAACATGCTTTGAACGTGCGATTCCAGCTCTAAGCAGACCGAGCCACCCGATGGCCCCTCTTTGTAGCGTGGAAAAAAATCTTCTTCGTACAGGTATTCGACAAATCGACCGAACACCTCCGGTTTCTCTTCTTCAAAGTGGATTTTCCTTTGCTCGCCTTCGATGAATGCGTCGGGTCGGAGAGCAGCTTGGAAGAACGGAATGGGGATGAGTTTGTCTTGGTGGATGTAGAAGGTGACTTGATGAGCTGGTGGACCGACGACGATAGTGATGAGAGGCGACAGGTAGGAGCTTTGTGGTCAGCATGGTCACTGATGTATTGGATCTAGAGGTCACATACCATTGCCAGAGTTTTGTTGCTCGACGCCAGCCCCCCCAGATCCAACTTCCTCTGATGCAATCTCCATCGAATATGGCTTTTCTGTTAGAACTTGTGACTCTGTTCAGTTGCGAAGACGCTGCTCTTGTGGAGCATGACCTATTTGCTGAGGGCTTGCTCGGCTAGTTCGTTAATTGCAAGTGGTCTGGAGGTGCAAGTCCTACGAGATGGTCGGCTGAAAAGTCGACGTCCAAACAAAATTGGAAGTGAAGTCGACTCACCGCGATACGCGTCGCGATAATTTCTCCCAGTCGAGTGAAGTTCCCACGACGCTCACCTCGCTTAAATTCAAAAGAGGTGTCGACTATCGTCACAAAGAAACCTAGATAGATTATTAGATAAGTCGCGAAAGAAAGATCTTGGAATAAATTGATCACCCGAAAGATCTTGTGTGAATATCTGCAATTTTGAGTTAAATACTCGAGCGTTTCTCAAATTTGCCTATTAGTACAGTATTCCAAATATATCTGGTACGAAAATGTCGACACAGCTTGAGGTTGTTGTAGATTACATCGAAGTTGAATCTGAAATCATGGCCTTCTTAATAAAAGCAAACCCCCCACGATAAGTACTATTCGAGATGTAAATACGGTAGTGCTCGCTGGCTCGGTATCCCCTCTCAAGCACTCGTCACGCCACATTTTGTAAAGAGACCTCGCATCTATAGTACCACAGTGGATGTAGATTGATACATTTTATACTGGAAAGGGCTTTGACAAAAGGGTCTTGGCTGAGTGAAGAGAAGCAGGATGAGGTAGCAAGCAGCGTTCCAACACACTTCAGAGGACTCACAAGTATCCAAGCTCATACTATATTACTGTTCTCCCGTAAAAAGAAGGATCAGAGTTTCTTGTTATAATCTTCTTTCCTGGGAACAGCGGTGCAGCGGGCATGTCAATTCGTGGAAACATGTTCTTCGATCTTTCTATGCTAGTGAATCAGTGATTTATCTAAATCCGACAGGATATTACTGAAACCGTCCCGAGCTTATGTAAATTGTTCTGATAATATCAGATAGTTTAAATAATTGGATTCTTCAAAATGGATTATAATAATATATAGTATATTTGTTGTCGGAATTTCTGTCCATCAAGAGTCAGCGCTCTATTTTGGTTTGAAGGCGGTCAGTTGACGCCAGCGTTACGTTAAATTTTGAGTCTAAATGTCATCGTTCAGTAAATTGTACAGACAGATTTGAGTAATAGAATAAAAGGAATTCAACCTAGTCGGAATAGCAGTTGGATTTGGAGTTAGTATTACCCTGATTGTGCTTTAACGAAAAATAATAGTTCGACAAGAGATAGCTAATCGTATAGGACATGACTTCTTACGCTCTAATATAATAATATGTTAGTATGTAATAGGCCAATTTCATTATTGTCAAATGAACTATATGACGATTTAGGATATGAGGTAAAAAGGGGCATTAAAAAAAGAGTGAAAGTCCTAAATGCATCGAAGTTACTAAGTCACCGAGTTTGGAAGAAACGCGAAATTGAATTTTAAATTATCATAGTCTGTCTCAACTTCTAGTAGGTCTCATTTTGAGGGGAGCAGGTTCAATCTATCTACATATTCGCCACTCCTTGATTAGAAACCATTATCTAGTAGGCCATAAGATGACCCACGCTCGCCCCCGAATGTAAGACATGCGTTGAGAGTCCCATTATTGCTTTGGCCAAGTTAATGATCTAAAAGAAGAGACAGGATAGCTAAAAGCGTGAAGCGGGCCATCACTATTCTTTGGTGTGTGCTCAATGTGCGGATGCAAGCCACAAAAGAACTCATTCTTGGTCGTGCTCTTCACGAGAAGGACCTCGCCAACTGCAGCAGCACCAAAACCTGCAGTGAGACCGTCTCTGGGATCAACGTTGGGTCTTTCATAGCCGTATTTTTCAGTAGAACTTGCAACCGTGACTTCAGTGACACAAACAACAAGCTTTGGGTTAGAATAGTCAAGCCTTAGCGGGTTGATGCTCATCAATCGTATGAGTCCTTGAAGAACAAGATTCTCGCCGGTATTCTGAAGAGTTTGAAAGGATTTACAGGCCGGAAGTCGCAGTCGGTGGAGCTCAAATTTCTCTTCGAGGAATGCGTAGACATCTTTTCGGGTTTCTGAGATGCTCCCAAGTACATGCTTTGCGAGAACAGTGACCTAGACCAATTAAGACATTAGCTACGACCACTCAGGACGACTAGAGCAGAAATCTGCACAGCGCAATCTTTTAGAAGGGGTTGCTCACCTCTTTGGTACCAATTGGGAGAAAACTCAACTTCTCCAGACATTCAGCAACCAAGGCCTCGATGCCGTAGCGCTCAGCGAAACATAGAACCTTTACCACCATTTCAAAGAGCCTAAAGGTCTCATTTGTAGAGACGTAGACACCGCACATGACTCCTGCTTCATGGAGGCTAGTATTGTAGACTTGGACACCATCTGTTTTTGGGCTTACCCGGATAACCAGACGTGGTTCCATGTAGATCACCTTCTTTTTGTCGTCTTTGCTCATGTAGCATTCAGTACGTGGAAAGAAATCACCTTCGTAGACAAACTCTACAAATCGTGACACGATATCAGGACTCTCCTCTCCGAAGTGGATCTTTCGCTCTTGGCCTTCGAGGAAAGCATCAGGTTTTAGCGCAGCGTGAAAGAAAGGGATGTGGATGATTCGCTCTTCGTGGACTTGAAAGATGGCTGGTTGGGTGGTTTCGGACTCAGGACCTACAGCAAGGGTGACCAGAGGTGATAGGTAAGGTCTATTGAAGTAGTCAGCTTCACGTCGCAAGAAGTTTTCGACCCTCTCGCGAGCTGAAAGGACGCGACTTTATCTTTGCGCTCCATTTTTGTAAACAAAGATGTTCACTTACGTGTTGGTAGCAAGCGGCTCCTCCTCTGGTGATAGCCACTCGTCCTCGACGAGGAGATCTTCCGTGGAAGCCACCATCCTTGCCAATGCGTTTGGCGTGGAGAAGAGTTGGCCGTTGTTTCTTGTCGGTTGTTTTGTGGGCAGCAATGCAGAGATGCTCGCGTCCGGTGGCGGTAGCTAGGTGAGCGTCGAGAATAACATGTTCTGGGACGGGTAAATTAAGCGAGATCGGCTCTGGAGGTATTTGCTAAACGCAGACCCGGAATTTATTCCAGTCTGATTGTTTATATAAGAAGTAATAACCCTTAACATCTTTAAAATTGTACTTATTATATACGAAGAGGTGGTCTGAAAACCCGATCTTTCCCGAAAAACGAATTTCTTTTCAATCTACGTGAAATCAAGAACGTTAAGCGATTCTTGCTATCGCTCTTGTTTTGTTAGCATGCTAGACATAAACCTCTTAACCGCTGAAATGCCGTCTGAGGCAACCAGCACTTGCGCCGAGAGAAGCGGCCATCTGTGAAATTCAACAATGTCTCCGGCTACTCTACAAAGAAAGCTATCACAGCTTTGCCTTTATTTTTTGGTCCACGACAACCCTATTTTCTCCCAAGGTACAAGTACCCTTCGACTTATCCCTCAATATCCGCCGCAAGATCTTCCCACTAGCACTTTTCGGAATCTCGCTAATAAACTCTACCTCTTTTTGTTAAAGTTAGTTATCGGATTTAGGTAATAAGCACTTTAAGGTTTAGGCTTTTAGTTTAAACTTTAGCCTAAAGGAATATTCTAAAGCTTGGTTTATAAGCTTGATTTATAAGCTTGATTTATAAGCTTATTCTAGTATCTTCGAGTTATATCGATAATAATCAATACTAATACTAATGTAGTAACTATAGGAGCTTCTAGTACTATACGCTAGCAGTATATATAGCTACACTGTTTTGTACTTAGTCTTCTCTCTTTAAGTCGAATACTATTGTCATTTGCAGATACTTATTATTATCACTTTTATCCTACCCAGTGACTCCTTATCCACATACGCATTTATATCGTGACCTCCTTACACTTTTGACCACTTATGTCTTGTCTTCCTCTCCTACACATAATTTGTCAGCTCTCTACCTAATGTTTCCTCATCCAATTCAATGTCCCCTTGTTTGACGATATAAGCTTAGGGTTTTTCCCCACTATAATCATCTGCAATTCCCAGGACCGCAACATCCTCGACCGCAGGATGACCCAACAGCAAATCCTCCAACTCAGCTGGAGCGACTCCAATACCTTTAACCTTGATCAATTCTTTGATTCGATCCGTGATCTGTACCATTCCATTTGCGTCAATGGTTGCTTGATCCCCGGTATGCAAATACCCCTCCTCATCGAAGGTTGCTTTTGTCGCTTCCACGTTTCCTAAATATCCCATCACAATCTGCGGTCCTTTGGCCAGCAGTTCCTCAGGTTCGCCGACACCAAGCTACTCGCCATCTTCGCCGATTATCTTGAGCATCGTGGAAGCAACGATATCACCCACCTTGTGAGCCAGTTCATATAAGTATTTATCAGGCGTCGAGGCAGTAATGCAACTACAACTCTCCGTCATTCCATAGGCCTGTTTAAATCCCGTCCAAGGGAATTTCTTCTTTAACAAACCTAGTATCTCTTCGCTCACGGGTGCTGCCCCGGTGGAAAACCTTTCAACGCATCGGAGATCGTAGTTGTTCACTATCGGGTCTCGAACCATGCGAATGAGAATTGGAGGCACGATGAGGAGTTCTGCAATACGATATTCGGTGACTGTATCTAGCATGGATTTCATAGTAAATGACGGAAGCATGTAAACTTCGGCGTTCAGAAGAATAGGAAGGTGGAGTGCGTGAATAAGACCGGTTATATGGAAGCATGGCAGGACGGCAAGAACCTTTTTGTGGGATGCTGGGGTGATTGGTTGGATCTGTAGAGACTGAGCTATGAAATTTTGGTGAGCTATCATGACCTGCAATAAGACATCAGTAACTGACAAAGCCATGATGTTGTGATTAAATGGGAAAAGTCAAGACCCACCGCTTTTGGCAATCCAGTAGTTCCACTGCTGAAACTCAGAAAGGCACACAGGTCAAAATTGGTCTCCCCAGGCTTCAAATTATACGCAGGTACCTGTCCACGTATACCATAGCGTTTACCAAGGAGTATCAATTCGTCCATCGTGGTGAGCCCCTCAATCTTCCCTTCGAGCAGAAATATGTTATCCTTCTTGATACCAGCAGCTTCAGCGGCAGCAGCGGCAATATCCATGCTTCCAGGAACGGTCATCAAGAATTTCGCTTTGGCAGTCTTCAGCGCGTAAGTCATTTCCTCGAAATTGTATGCCGGCGAAGCGCCAGAGACTATGCCCGCAACGCGGGATACTCCAAGCATGGCTAATGGGTACCATATTGTATTTGGTGAGAAGAGGGCAACAGTATCGCTTTTCTTAAGGCCGTATCTCTTGGCCAGCGCAGTAGATAGGTACGTAGCGTGATACAGCAGGTCAAGATAAGAGATTCTTTCCTTTGTTTCGGCATTTGTGTAGCCTCCAAGCGCCGATGAACGGTACTTTTTGAGTGGCAAAATAGGAGAATGGAAGAGCCAGTTCCATATTGTGATATTCAGTGGGACTTTAATTTCTCCCTGATTAGACTTCAAAGTTTCGACAGATGGCGGATGGATAACTTACACTCAATGTCTGGTTGAGAGCTTTTGAAGAGCATTGTCTGGGATGTTTCGAAGTCGCCAGCGGATTGATATTGGCCGTTGTTCGAGGAGGTTCATTAAATGATTTCATGCCAGACAGAAAAGGTTTCAACATCCGATGTCTTATCTGGTAAAATGGAAGTCGTATTATGTATGACAATAGCTACTGTCTCGTGCTACACACGTATGTTGGCCCGAAGACTTTATGTCACACTTGTCACAGTATGCGTGGGGGATGAAAGTGCGGGGTTATGGGGGCGGGGAAGCCGGCTCGAGCCGGGGAGTCTCAAAGCAAGCCCGAGTTGTATGAAAAGATTTCCCAATTAATTATTTTATGAAGATGTGCCATAAAGAAACTTTGAAATCTATTGTGATTGAACTCTTTCTGTGTTCTTCAAGAAGTACTGTACAACTTGTACCAACGCTAGGATGGCTGACGTGCATTCTGGCTCGGGTCACGTGTCTGGCCATATCTGGTTATTTACAACGAGCATTGCTATGGAGATATCAAATCAACTTTCTTAATGAGTGTGAAGCTTGTGACAAAATGAAAAGTTTCTGATGCGTACCTCTACTTCAGTCGCAAAGTGAGAGTTATTCCCACAAATGCACCACGCGCCCTTCTCTTACTTACAATGTCTACAGTAATTAATTAGTCGCCAGAATATGGATCACCATTTTCCATATCCGCAAGAATTGTGATCCCGCAATCTTTGTAGTGTCATTTGTTGCAATATTACCATGCCCAACTACCGTCGACTACTTTAACCTCCTCAGCTGCCCCTGCCAAGAAGAATTTAAGCGAGTTAGTTCACACTTCATCATGGCACAAGTACGAAAGATAATTTTTTGTGTTTTTGATGCAATACCCTACCCGAACCTATCACTATCAAGGTCCCTCTTAGACGCATATACAGAGTCGCTCCTCAGCCCAAGGAAGTGGGGTCGATTGGCTGCCAGACCCTTGAAATAAAATCCAGATACAGATCCCACTTGGGCCTCCGACTACCGAGTTCCCGAAACAATGAAAGAATCAAATTGAGTGCTCCTCGGCTCAAGGGATCCCTCACGGGAACACTACTTCTCCACAAATTTGTAATTGCCTGCCCACGTGTATCGACGGCTTTGCGTTTACAAAAAGTGCCGACCAGATAAAGGTAGAAACTTCTCCTCTGCCGTTCTTTTCATTTATCGCCTTTTCTTTTTGGTGTTTTTTCGTTGGAAAACAGTGCGCAAACCAGGTCACCATCCCATGCATGAGGAGACGCACAGAAAATACAGGAAACGAGAAAATAACAACAATAAAGATCCTACCAATGAACGGAAAGAACGGTAAACGCTCGGTAGTCAGCTGGTGGTAGAAAATGAGTAGATATTGTCCCATGCTGAAATATATTCAGCCAAGAATCATAGCGAGCAACCGTCGTGATACTCGACAGATGGTTAGGTCCAGAATGCAAGTCTTGCTAGTCCTCAAGCGAATCAGCAGAACCGATTTAGTTATTATGGGGCTCGCTTCTTGTGGAGGCTTCGCCAAAAGTATGAGGCTCTGTTGTGGTAGAGGTTTCATCGTTGGCAGTAGTGTTGTTATGGCTTCCCTCAAATGAGGACGAGACCTTCTTCTTTCGGTCTTTCTTCTGATGAATGAGCGCAAAGACACTCTGTAAAGTAGCCTTGTGGTCTGGAAGAACTTCGTATGCTTTAGCTTCACAGGATTTGACCACGGCCCAAAAGCGCTGCTGGCTCTCTTCTTTGCGTTGTAGTTGAAGATGCGCTTTTTGAACAGCCTCCTGCTCGCGCCTCAATTCCTCTTTCAATACATTAAATGCTGCTTTATTGTGACGTTGAGGGGAGGTTACTGCGCCATCTTTCAGCTTTGATTTACGCTTTTCTTCCGCCAGCTCTATTTCGAGCCTAGTCATTAAATGGTCTTTTGAAATTGTAGTATAGCTGGATCGATGGGAGGTGGCTGAAAGGGCCCAAAGTGCTGCTGCTGTAAAGTATAAGGGACATGAGAGTGTTGAGAACCGGCGGAATACGGAATTGATGAACCGCCCAAATTAGGAGCCGCAAGAGAAATATCCGGGTGATAAGCGGGGGGGAAATGAGGATCAAATGACGTGGCTTTTAACGAAGATTGACCTTGACAGATGACAGGACCTGCTGTGGTGATCATATAAGCTGGAACAGATGACTGATAGGATGGAAATGGCTGGTATGGTGGAGATGGTTGATGGATCGGAGACGGTTGATAGATCGGAGATGGTTGGTAGCCTGGAGATGATTGGTAGTCTGGAAATGCTTGAGGACCTTGAGATGCTACGGGAACATTCACTGAAAATGACCACTCTCTCCCAATGTTGGGCTTGACAGTCTTTTGTCACCAGTCTCAGCTGCATCTGCGCCATGTTTAGCGTAGCGAGAACTACTGAGGCCACTCATCTTGGTAAGGGCGAGAGTTATGCGATAGTAACACTCAAGGGTATCGTTATGATAATGGAGATGATGGCACGGCAATGGTTGGGTTTTTTTGGTGGCAGTTGGGAGTGAGAGGATGGAGTATGAATTGGAAGAAATGAAAGCTTGTTCGGAGGCCCTGTTCTTATTTGTACCATGCTCCGGCTTCTAGAACGGGTGGCTGGGCGGGGTTCAGTCTCCAGTCACGTTGTGCGCAGTGTAGTATTTATTCACTGTACAAAAGTAGCCCGGAGGCGACTATTTCCATTTTCCTTCCACCACCAGTGGGTGACAGAATTCGTGGGACAGCACAACTTCTAAATTACGTAATCAAGAACACTAAAAATTACTACTATTCAAACTTTTATTACCACTTCGCAGTCTTTATAGGCTTCCCACTCGTTTTAACTAGTAATTTACATCGCCGAGGCATATCCGCTATACGGGCACGAACTTCCTCCATTGTAATCTTACTCCATTCGTCCTGAACCACCTCCTTAAGCTCCGCAATTGTATTCCATACTCTCCGACGTATTCTTTGCTTAAGGATATTCCAAAGAGCCTCTATAGGGTTGAGATCTGGGGACTGGGGAGGGTGGACAAGGTTCGTGATCCAATTAGCCCTTTTGAGTACTGATGCAAGGCTATCTGGGTTCTGTATACCATGAGACTTGTCCCCATCTTCCTGAAGAAGCCAACTACTGTTTAT